CCGGTTCTCTACACTCACCATACGAAACACAGCAGCATTAAGCTACTATTTCACGCTGGTATTCTGTGAGAGCGTGGTCCTTCCCCGGTCGAGCTGACCCATTCGTGCTACAACTATACTACTGACATAACTGCAGCATGGCTCTACCACGTATAAAATTCAAAATGCGTGGTAATGCATTATTTCAAATGATTTTACTGCGCACGCACACATTCGTAAGGGTCGATCGGTAGGCAAAAACGTTGTGTTGCTCATTAATCACATTCAATTTGGAATAATTTCAAATAAAAGTAGAAGCTTTATTTACTCGTATTTTCAAAAACTGCGATAACTGTATTACATTATACATTTGAACTTAAGTTTAAAATATGGCTACCCTTTGCAAAGTAACCCTGTACACAAGGGAAATTTAAATAAAATTGTGTATATTTTTTATTATATTACTTTTTTCATATTGTTACATTGACATCCGTTTCCGAGCTGTGTTCATAATTTCAATTGTTTAAGCTAATTGGGAAGTTAGTTTAAAATCAATTAGTAAATTCGACTTGAACAGACATACACTAAAGAGAATTAGGCTCGGTTTCCACCAAAGCAGAGAGGAGAGGAGAAGTGTAGTGGAGAAGAGATGTGAGCTGTGAGAGATCGTAACCAGTCAAGTTCTGTCTACGAAAGGAAGACGTCATGTCGTTACAAGTTGAGTAATTAGAGGTTGAAAAAACAATCAATTCTTCAATGTTTAAATTACCGACGACAACATAGATTCTGGATAAGAAACCATATAAAATGGCATAGTCATGGCGAATATGCCACTCTGTTTCAAGAGTTTGATTATGAAAGTTCTCAAAAAATCTTACAGGATAAAAAGGAATAATTTTTACGCCGTTCAGCCGCCCGACTATAGTATGTGCCAAATCGACTGAGAAAAAACGGACAATGACCTCAGATATGGGCCGAGTGTCAAAAGGCTTAACTTACAAAATCTCAATTTAGATACATTACATAAACACTCACGCCTGTCACCCAGAGGGGTAGGCAGAGACTACAGACTTCCATTTGGCACGATCCTGACACACCTCTCTTGCCTCCTTCACATCCATACACCTACGCATACATGCTCGTCGGTTAAGGGTACTCCTAATTTGGCCCGTTTTCAATAAATTGTCAATTTGGTCGATAAATTTTCGTCTAGGGTGTCCCTTTCCGACTCTGCCATTCACTTCTGCACCATAAATTTTCTTTGTCACTCTTTCCTCATTCATTCTTTCTACATGACCAAACCACCGAAGCATTCCTTTCTTAATCCTGGTCACAACATCATCTTGCAAACCACACTCTTCTCTTATTACACAAGTTCTTACCCTGTCATTCAGATTCAGCCCTAACATACTCCTTAACCACCGCATTTCTACTGCGTTTATTCTACTCTCGTGCTTCTTCTGCCACACCCAACTTTCACTACCATACATTAAAGTAGGGACCAACACAGCATTGTGAATTGCCATACGTGCCTTTTTCGACACATTTTGACTCTTCACAATAGAGTGCAAGGCCCCATTCACTCGTCGTTCTATATCCTTATCATATCTCCCATCCCTGCTAAATACGCAGCCCAAATATACAAACTCATCTACTTGCTCGATCAACTCCCCTTCTATTCTTATTTCACAAATCGTTTTACTTTCTTCTCTTTCAAAAATCTTAACCTTGGTCTTACTTGCGTTTCATACCCCTTTCTTTTAATGATCCGTTCATTAATGTAACCATCATTTGCAACTCGGCCGCCGACGATGCAAGAATAACTTGATCATCGGCGTACAAAAGGCATTTGACGGTTAACTCACCCATTCTTAATCCGCATTCTTCAACTTTCAAATTTTGCAAACAACTATCAATTTAGATGTGATAACAATATTTAAATATTGATATTATTCACACTTCTAGGTCAGCGCATATGTTTTGTTTTTTGTTTCTTAAATAATATTGTCTGTGGTTCCTAAACCACTTTATTATTACTTATTATTTATTATTATTATTACTTATTATTTAAGAAACGTCGTAATTTAAGAAACATCGTAAAATCTTACGGTACATCGCGAAAAATGTGTTATATTTTATATTTCAATTTATGGCACGTAACGCAGTAATTCATTTAATAACAGTTTCATATTAAAATAAAATATTTGAAGCAATATAATCACCATATTGAGCTTTTGCAAATTCATCCCTTTAAAATAAACAAAACGCGCATTACGTCAGTTCGTTCTAAAAGAAACGTGACAATGGCAGCCAGAGATGCGTCACTTTTTTTTGGGTAGGCCCGCATGCACCGAATAAGTTCTTATATAATAATGAAAATAAAGTTTTACCTTTTGAATAGGTACGTACTTATTCGGTGTCGTTATCACTCGAATCTTTATATGTGTTATAAATTAATGCTTTTGTCGTTAAATGAATAAAGTACTTTAGACCAATAGATGATTTTTCTTCTACAGCGATCTTTTACACAACTTTTTAATAATAGTTAATAAATATATATTATAACAATCATTACAAAAAATCATTATAAATAAAGAAAGTACTACATATAAAAAGTGACTATATATTGAAGGTTTGTAGCCCCTGTTTAAACGACCGAAAGGTCATTGTCCGTTTTTCTCAATCGAGTTGGCACGAACTATAGACACTTCTCCGCTCTACCGAGCCGCTTGCTCGCTCACCGTACACAACTCTATAGAAAAACGAGACATCTCTCCTGTCCGCTTGATCCATTTCCACCGAAGTTAAGCGAAGAGATGTGGAAATAACGAAATCGGAATTGGTTTATTCAAACACATCTCTCGTCTCCTTACCTCCCTGCTTTGGTGGAAATCGGGCCTTAATAAAAACTTAGTAAAAACCCCATCCGATGACTACATGACCTATTTCAAGTCGTAGGTACGTTAAAAAAAATGTGGATACTTAGGGTTTGTCATGAATAAAAATACAATAATATATATATTCAAAATACATATTTATTTACAATCCTTTCGAATATTTACTATAATTAGATCAGTTGTTGACTTATTAAAATAATTTATTCAGTCTAAAACATTAACTTAACCCTTTCACGTGATTTATTTTCGATCTGTGCATAAAACGATTCACAAATGATCACAATCGTTAAAAATATGTTGAGGCATACATACAAATATGTTGAGGCATACATACAAAGTGAGGCACATTTACTTGAGGCATAAAAAGGAACGCAAACAAGCAAAACAAATATGTAGCTAACAAAATGGGGCACATACAAATACGTTGAGGCATACATACAAATATGTTGAGTAGCATACAAACAAATAATTGTTGAGGCATACATACAGATAAATTATCGGTCTGTGATTTTTGAGTTTTTGTAGGCACTCCTTTCACATCTTTGTCTTCAGGAGTGACAACACATCTGCATTTTGATTTTTATCGTTGATAGATAGTAAAACCTAAGTGACTAAACTTAATCCACCACCTGAACAGATAAGTTAATGGCACTGTGCCATTAAGTTATCTGTTCAGGTGGACATAATTGGAATTAAGGCCGCCATTTTATAAATGACATTTTGCTGTAAGCTAGTATTTAGTCTGCGCTGTGAGGAAAGTGTTTTGTTTGATTTTGTTGTGAAAAGTGCAAATACATATTATATACTGTGTGATGATTTTTTTACTAATTGGAAAAAAATAGAGTAAAACAGGTGAAAGTAGTAAAAGCCTATGACACTGATATTTTTTATTGTTTTTTCTTTTACGTTAACATATTACGAAATTGATCTATTAATAAATACTACCATTTGGGTGTGCAGTACTATAATTTGGATAGTTTTTAATTGATTTATTTAATTAATTTCAAAATTTTTGTTTTTTTTTTTTTTAGTACCGAAAGTTTATTTCAAATTAATGGTATTTATTAATAGATCAATTTCATAATATGTTAATGCAAAAGCAAAAAATTGTAAAATATCAGTGCCATAGGCTTCTATATCGTTCACCTGTTACATCCTATTCTTTTCCAGACGATAAAAAAAATTTCCAGGATATGGTCACCTATTTCCTCGGTAAATTTCTTACTTGGCACTAGTAAGCTCTCCACTAACGACTCTGTCAGCTAAACAGTAAAGCTGGTGGCACTATAAGTGACTACTGCGGCCCATAGACGTAATAATTATACCATAGACAAATAACTTCAAACAGGGGACACTACAGATGCATTGTCACCTCCGAGGACGAAGATGGAATGCCCTACAGCGTGATATTATACCGGCTGTATATACCCTTCAGATCGGGACACGGCAGTGCAGGCACTACATTTGATGGTAGAAATAGATAATATGGTTGTAACCACCACCGCCCGGACATACTCCACCATTGTTTTATAGAATAGGGTGACACACGAGCACAAAGTCCACCTGATGGTAAGTGGATGCTGTGGCCCATAGACATCTACATCTATCCTCGATTACGAATCAACACAGAAACACAGATGCGTTGTCACCCGTGAGGACTAAGATGGAATGCCTCATTTCCAGTAAAAAGGGTATCCGGTTCTCTACACTCACCATACAAAACACAGCAGTATTACGCTGCTATTTTACCCTGGTATTCTTTGAGAGCGTGGTCTTTCCCCGGTCGAGCCGACCCATTAGTGCTGCAACTATAATATAGCTGCAACGTGGCTTTACCACGTACAAAACTAAAATCCAAATCAAATGTTCCACCATCTAGGAAACGATGCAGGTGTATTGGGTCACAGCATTCACTGACCATCAAGACTGCGCAGATTTGTTCGTCTACCCACATGACGAAACAAGGTGACGTTATCTTACCTGATCATTATATCTTATTCTATAAAAAAAATACTGCAAGTCTTTTAAAACAAGCAAAAGAGATCATTTTTAAAACGTAACGTGTCGAAAAAATCGAAAAGCACAGACAAATATATTTAATTCGTTATTATAGTAAAGTCAAGTTCAGGCGGGTCCAGGATGATGCGGGAGGAGGTTCTGCGCAGGAAGCAGTGACGGCATCAGGTCGTTCTGCATCTTTTTCGCTTTCCTCGTCTTCTTCGGTTGTACTTTCATCTGCGGAAGTGTATGAAGCACTTACATTAACTTCAAACTCATTTAAGATAATATTAAACTATCTTAACTATCGGAAAAATCGGACCAAAAATTAATATTCGAAAACTGTAGGAAGCCGGGCTAACTATGACATTAGGACATAAAACATCTCAGTCTCCCCCCCCCCGTGACCATGGGTGCTGTAAAGCACCCGAAACGTCGGGATAGTAAAAAAAATTAAAGTAATTAAACGCGATAAAATCCGTAAATAATAGTTTTATTCAATATGTAGTGTTCGCGTAAATTTAAGAAATCATTAATTAATATTATTAAATATTAATTCACCGCAGAGTCTACTTCACTTGAGGATGCCTCGTGTAGAAACGAAACACGTGTCGTATTAACAAGTGTTGTGCCTTTCCTAGTACAGTGGTGTTGGGAGTTGTGGTGCTGGGGATAACGCACGGAATTGAGGGAGGCGCTCTTTTAACTAGGTAAGATACATCATCAAATCCATTATATACTATATCTATCATATAATACAAGAATCACAGTCGGAAGTTAATTAAATACGCATCATTAAGGATAATCAGGTCAGATTTTGATCAAATTCATATGGGACCACATGGGAAGCACCAGCTTTTACATAAAAAAGAATCATCAAAATCAGATCACCTAGCAAAAAAGCTCTGAGGTAACAAACATAAAAGAGTACAGTCGAATTGAGTATCTTCTTCTTTTTGGAGTCGGTCAAAATTTACGCGATTCTTAGCTAATAAATTCATAACATCTTTAATACTATATTTTCACTTAGTAAGTAATGCCTAATTCTATTAATTTCAAACTCGTTTCTTTATGAATATTTCATAATACACAAGCTGGTCCGGTCGACATTGTTAGACCCTTTCCAGTACGGGTGCAATGAGGGGCACTCCAATTTTATTTCAGACTTTTTACATTGTAAATACGTCATCATCATTATTACAGTTTATTGTCCAATCATCATCATCATTACTGCCCTTCACAAGTCCACTACTGCTGGCCTCCCCCCAAGGTATGCCACAAAGCACGGTCCTGAGCCACCTGCATCCATCGAGTTCCTGCATGTCTTACCAGGTCGTCACTCCATCTAGTGGGGAGTCGCACTACACTTCGCCTACCGGTACGAGGCTGCCACTCGAGAACCTTTCTCCCCCCATCGGTTCTTCCAGCTGGCCGCTGACCGGCCCATTGTCACTTCAGCTTATCAATAGCTAATAAATAATAACTATCACAATTTATTAATAATTTGAACAATATCTTGACCGAATGAGAAAATTCAACGCTAAACGTTGAGCTATGTCGGTTGCTCTGGTTCTACTGCTGATATCCTCATTTCTAAGTCTATCACGCAGAGAAATTCCAAGCATAGCCCTCTCCATAGCTCGCTGAGCGACCTTGTGCATCCTCATACGGCCAGGTTAGGTTAGGTCAAGTTACTGATAAATTGTGATTTTCTTTTTTGGCACTAAACAAATATAAATTATGAATATAAAAAATGTCTGTCCCTAATTATAGAATTTATTAATAACTAGACAACAGCGACACCTATCGCAGCGTAACCAATAATAACATAGCTATGAACTATCGTTTCGCCGTGTGAATATGACTTCAATCGATCAAGGTTGGCGTACAGTGTAAATAGGTAAAGTACACAAGTGAGCAGTATGTGAAGTGGTACAATACATGAGTGAGTAGTACGTGTAGTGCTACAGTACACAAGTGAGTACGAGTCGTACAGTACACAAGTGAGTAGTACGTGTAGTGGTACAGTCCACAAGTGAATAGTACGTGTAGTCGTACAGTACACAAATGAGTAGTGCGTGTAGTGGTACAGTACACAAGTGAATAGTACGTGTAATCGTACAGTACACAAGTGAGTAGTACGTGTAGTGGTACAATACACAAGTGAGTAGTACGTGTAGTCGTACAGTACAGTAGTACGTGTAGTCGTACAGTACAGAAGTGAGTAGTGCGTGTATTGGTACAGTATACAAGTAAATAGTACGTGTAGTCGTACAGTACACAAGTGAGTAGTACGTGTAGTGGTACAATACACAAGTGAGTAGTACGTGTAGTCGTACAGTACACAAGTGAGTAGTGCGTGTATTGGTACAGTATACAAGTGAGTAGTGCGTGTATTGGTACAGTATACAAGTGAGTAGTGCGTGTAGTGGTACAGTACACAAGCGAGTAGTACGTGTAGTGGTAGAGTCCACAATGGAGTAGGATTATATGTGGTTGGTACCTTGTAGTGCACTTCTCGCACGTGACGGTAAAGACTGGAGTACCAGCCGAACGCGGCACTACATCGCTCGCACTGGTACGGAGTCTCGGTGGTGTGCATCGCCACTATGTGGTACTTCAGCTTGGCCGCGTTCTGTTCACAATGGACACTTGTAAGGGATCTAAGTTATAGGGATTTTTGTTTTCATGAAGAATTCATTTCGCAGACCACTTGGACACTCAGATATTTAGAATATAATAGAAGAATTTTTATTTAATATAGATTTATACAAGAATATTTATAGAAATTCATTTAACTTTTAACACACGTTTAGAAAAACATTTGTCCTGGGAAGCACCAACAATAAACCCAGCGCAGCAGCACGAGAAGCTTAGTGTGGCCCGGCCATATATATATATATATATAAGCGATGATATACCACTGATTGACTCATCACGAGATCTCTAAAACTGCACACCCGATAGACTTGAAATTTGGTTGTATAAGTGGTAGAGCCACGCTACAGCTATATTATAGTATAGTTGTAATACGAATGGGTCGGCTCGACCGGGGAAGGACCACGCTCTCACAGAATACCAGCATAAAATAGCAGAATTGTTCGGACTAATTGCATCCGCAAAATTTCACCATCGCACATCGCGACAAAACTCGCGATACCATCCATATCATCTGGATGACTTCCGGTCCACCACTGTGCGATTTAAAAAAGTTTTCTTCCTCGCACAACTTCCTTGTGGAATCGAATACCACCAGAAATTTTCCCGGACCGATACGACTTAGGGACCTTCAAGCAAAGAGCCCACTTCTTTTTAAAAGGCCGGCAACACACCTGCAATTCTCCTAGTGTTGCAGTTGTTCATGGGCGACGGTAATCAATTACTATCTGGTAAGCCGTCTGATCGTTTGCCCCCTCTACTAAAAAAACCGATAAAATTGAAATTATTAAAAAAGTGACTGTCTCATTGGTCTAGTGGTCGTACACGAAATTGCTGATTATGAGGTTCGGATCCCGGTTCAGCCCAAAATCAGGGTATTTCCGTCAAGAAATTCTCATTTGCCGCCCGGAGTTAGAAAGTTGGCGGTATCTTACCCCCGTGTCTCGGAAAGCACGTAAAGCTGTTGGTCCTGCGCCTGATATCTCTGGTCGTGATAGATTACCGTCCCATCGGACTATGAGAGTGAGGGAGTAGAGAGTGCAGCTGTGCTTGCGTACACTTGTGCACTATAGTCATCCTGTCCAGATGGCTGGTCTCCGTTGAGACCGGCCGCCGTGACCGAAATTCGGTCTCGAGGACGTTGTTATCATTACAAATTTGCATTACCTGATACGACTTCCCGCAGACGTGGCAAAGGTTGTCTTTCTTCTCCTTATTCCGGTGCACGTTCTGCATGTGTACGTACAGGGACGTGTGACATTTGAAGGGCTGCAACATATTTTTACATATACATACTCGTAAACCCAATAATATCCCAACCAAATAGCGACGATGCGAAAGTTCTATTCGGATCCATGGTTCACGTAGTATAATAATGTTGTAAGCCATAATTAACTCCACTAGCGCCATCTAGTATCGAGTAGCAGATCTAGGAGAGCTTTCTAGAAAATTCCATGGTAGAACTTTCCCACTAGAGCCATCTAGTATCGAGTGGCGGAGCTGTGAGAGAACTTTCTACGCCTAGTCGGTCGGCACCGGTATGTGCTGAGCATTCTGGATTTTTCAGTAGAAAAGGTCCTATATAATGACGTTAAGGCCGCGACCGAGGCAGTATTGAATTGGCGATACAAATGAAGACTTCGGAGCCATATAAAGTGAACGTGTGATTAATTAATCGTATGTTTTAAGTTTTAATTGGTGTTCGGTAATTAGTGTCAATTTTGGTAATTCAATCGGCAGTTTTTATTGTCACAAACCCTGAGCTCGTAACAATAATTAACGTCATATGATTTAGTGATGTATGTTAGGGTGTGATGGGCCTGACATACGCTAAGTGGTAAATGTCCCTTAAATTATTGTAGAATAAAAAAAATTATATATGTATACATAAAATGTTTTCTACAAACACTTATAAACTACTTATGTAATTATATTGTAGTGGCTGTGTGAGAATGTTTACTATCCCGTATCTTCCCGTGGGTCGCAAGAGGCCACAGTGGGAACTAGAAACAGGAGATAGATAGGCATATTTTATGTCGTACAGCCACGCTGCAACTATATTATAGTTGTAGCACGAATGGGTCAACTCGACCGGGAAGGATCACGCTCTCACAGAATACTAGCGTAAAATAGCAGCGTAATGCTGCTGTGTTTCGTATGGTGAGTGTAGAAAACCAGAAACCTATATTACTGGAAACGAGGTATTCAATCTTAGTCCTCAGTGGTAACAACGCTTCTGAATTTCGATTCGTAATCGAGGATAGATGTAGATGTCTATGGGCCACAGCAGCTACTTGCCATCAGGTGGACTGTGTGCTCGTTTGTCAGCCTATTCTATAAAAAATGCAGCAGCATCTTCCTAAAAAATCATAGAATATAAAAAACTGCGTTTGCTAAACCGCCAGCCAAGCGAAGCAACTATGGTAAATAACCCCCCCCCCTCCCCCCCCCCCCGTATGAGGCAATCCAGTAGAAGGTTTATGTTTAGTGGTGGATTTTTACGGGCTGTAATGATGGAATAAAGTAATTATATGTAAAAAAGTAGGCCTCCCCCAAGGAACGCCACAAAGCACGGTCCTGAGCCACCTGTATCCATTGACCTCCTGCATGTCTTACCAGGTCGTCACTCCATCTAGTGGGGAGTCCGCCCTATGTTCAGCAGTGGACTTGTTAAGGGCTGTAATGATTATGATGATGTAAAATAAGGTAACAGTAACAGCCTATATACGTACCACGGCTGGGTAAAAGCCTCCACATTTTTGAGAGGTCATGGAAGCTTAGGAGCTAAGAGGCCGTCGTAAGCATGTGTAATTAATTTAGCAATTTATGACACTTAAGAGGAATTCCGGGTGGCGTTTAGTCGTTAATATTGTTAGGTCGGGGTTTTGGGAATGCTTTTTTTTAAAAAAAAAACTTGAAAAATGAAGCTCAATTTTTTAGATAATACAATAATATTAAGGAATACGAGGGATGCCCGAACGCGACGGATGTTAAGTCCCGACTGACTGAAGCTTTGACGATGAGAGCCTCTACTGTGTTCACAAACAATGACTAAACAAGTGGTAAAATTTAAAAATTTGTACAACCGACTTCAATATACATAAAATGAGAACATCATCAATGTAGTCGAAGTCAATTAAATACGCATTATTAAATTTAACTGGAAAACGATCTTGATCAAGGAGTACAAGAGATACACCCGTCAGAATAAAGTTCAGAAGTAACAAATATTTCAAAAAAAAAATACTCAAATTTAGTACCTACACCTTTTTAAAGTCAGTTGAAAACCGCGTCTATATTTTAGGTTATAGATCATTCAAGTGGTGCTCACTACTAATATAGAACAACACGGGCCACCGGCGGATCGAGGATAGATGTAGATGTCTATGGTCCGCAGCATCCACTTACCATCAGGTGGACTGTGTGCTCGCTTATCAGCTTTATTCTATAAAAAAATGACACAGTAGAGACGCCTCTAACGGAGAAACCGAGGAGAGAGTCCATCTGGACTGTGCGCTTGTATGTTAAATTATTCTTCTATTGTTCTATTTAAAAAAAATTGGACCCTGCAGGCCATCCCCGAAACTTCCAGCTAATTTCAAATGCAAAGCGCTCCAAATTTCACCAAATTATGACGTTGAATACGAAATATCGAAATAATTTAACAAAATCAATTCTTTCTAATTTTTTAATTAATGATATCTCACGAACGAATCAACCGATTGTGACCGGACCAGCGGCGATCGACGTGGTTTCTCGAGGTTAAAAGCTGATCAGTTTTTGGAATCGATCGATAAAGCTGATTAAAAGTTATTCCAAAGAAACAGCTTTTCAAAATTTTTATTTTTGAGTTATCTCAAAATCTACCGGTCCGAATTAGTTAAAATTTATAGGAAATCTAAGTTTGATGAAACACTTTAAAATCCGCTTAGTTCATTTCAATCGGTCAAGCCATTCAAAAATTATAAGAGGTAAATTATAAGAGGTACGCACGCACGCACGCACGCACGCACGCACGCACACACACACGCACGCACACACACACACACACACACACACACACACACACACACACACACACGCGTCACACACACACACGTACACACACACACACGTACACACACACACACGTACACACACACACACGTACACACACATACATAAACACACACACGTACACACACACACACCATCAAAAAATAGTCAGGGTGGCTTCCTGTGACGTCAAAACATCAAGATTTGATGAAAACTCAATTTTCGAAAAACGCGGTAAAAACAATAACTTCCCGTTTTTCAATTCTCTTAGCGGTAAGTTAAACTATGTGTCAGGGTACAATGGCGACACGACTCACCTTGTTGCAGAGCTGACACCGAAACTTGATCTTCTTGAGGTGCTCCCAGTCTATGTGGTCGCGCAGTCGAGTCTTGTTCACGAACTTCTTGCCGCACTCGTCGCATGTGAAACTGGAACACATCTTCATGATACACCCATGTTACATATAATTTCAAGCTTTATCACAGAACAGTCGTGTACTCGGAGGAAGCTGGCTCCGATATGTTGAAGATATCATCATCATTATTCCAAGTTCAGATTCAGGTCGAGATATTTGTGAATACAGGTAATGGTACAGAAATATTATTATATTATATTCGTTCACTGTATTAAACCCTTAGGTGTACAAATATGCAAATAATATATATATATAATATATATATATATATATATATATATATATATAATATATGTATATATATACAGTAAAGCGTCGATTATCCGAATTAATTGGGGGACTTAGGTGTTCGGAAAACCGGTTTGTTCGGATAATCGAACTGTGTAATTCTATGTACCAATATACTATTAAATATGTTTATAATACGTAATATTAATTTAATTTATGTCAGTTGTAATACAAGCTAGAGCAGTGATACTATTATTTACTTTAGACCAGATGCCCTTAATTCACGATGCGAGGCAAGAGTTTTTCTTAGCAAAGCCTTCCAATTGAGTCTAGTTTCGTCAGAACTGTAAACGTTTTCTAAAACATAATTTTCTCGTTTCAATACGTCGCTTAATTTGATTTTGATAGAATCAGCTGCTGAAGAACCAGCAGACCGTTTTTCTCCTTGTATTTGAAGCTCACGAATGCCACGTCTTGACTTAAACCGTTTAAACCAGCCCGTGTTTGCTTGAATGTTCAACGGTCCTCCTAGTTTTTCATTTAATGTTTTGCCTTTTCACATAGAACGGCATCAGAGATAGGTTCTCCTTGCGATTTTTTTTTTGTGTAAATCACTTGTAAACAGCGTCATCGAGATCGGTGTTCGTGGCGAACTTCATAGTTTTACGTCGACCCATTAGTAAAATCATGCCTGCATATAAAATTGGATATGGTCGTCTTTTGGTTTTTATATCCGTAATTGTCAGCTTAACCACTTTGTACTTCTTAGATAACTTGGTTGCATATTCGCCTTTCTCTAATCCTTTGTTAATTTTGTATTTATATTTTATCGGTACGGAACGTAGGCCAACACGGGACACTGTGCGGAGAAGCGAGAAGGTGGTCGCATCCCAATGAGGTGCCGAGGACCGAGGTAGCTGTTCGGTTAAACGGTCGTTCGGTTAATCGACGTTCGGATAATCGACGTTCTACGTATATATATTTATATAGCATAAGGGTGACAAGACATCTACATGTACCCTCGATTAAGAATTGAAATGCAGATGCGTCGTCAATTCTGAGGAGTAATTGAGATAAAACCGATTGAGGCATGACCGCTTGACCTAGATAATGTACAGATGTTCGCAGAATGCAGAGGAGTGTTATGAACACGTGGTATTGCACAAAACTTGTTTATTACCGACTTCAAAAAAGAGGAGGTATTCAAATCGACTGTATTTTTTATGTGTGATAGCTCAGAACTTTTCTCTGCGTGAAGCGAATTTGATATTCTTTTTTTATCGGAAAGCAGGTGTTTCTCGTGCGGTCCCATATAAATTTAAACAAGATCTGACCAATAGCTTTTGAGTTATTTTTAATAATGCGTATTTAATTGACTTGAAATACATTGATGATGATGATCTAATTGTTATGATATATATATATATATATATATATATATATATATATATATATATATATATATATACACACACAACACGTAACATAATTAATGCACTTTGAGAAAGTAGTTTGTTCAGAATCATGTACTGAATCGATTCCTATCATTTTAATATAGGTAATTTTTATCCCAAAAATAATTAAAACTACGTAAATTACAGTCAAAATAAATCTGTACAGTCAAAACAAACTGAAATGGACCGTAACTTAAGGCAATAAGACTTTTAAGAATGCAGTTTTATTTGTATTATTACCAATTCTTTCGTTCAATAAAAATAAAGAAAAATGAACTTTATTTCAAGCACGTTAAAGTCTTTCCGTTCGTGGATTTGTACTGTGACCACAACATTCTTCCGGAATTAGTATAACTAATTTGATAAATAATCAGTATGTATTATGATTATAACATAATATACTAATTGGGGTGTCTGAGGGTGTGCGTTAATTACGTTACATACTGTTATATATATATATATATATATATATATATATATATATATATATATATATATATATTATTTATTTAACTTCATATACACATTAGATGTATATAGGCGGACTTAATGCCTGAGGCATTATCTACCAGTCTACCTTAGAGTAGTGCAGAGATAAAAGAGGTAGGTGTAATAAGAAGTATGTACAATACATATATACATTTACATATACATATATACACATATATAAACTCATACATATATAAGCGTATAAATATATACATATATAAACATTGTGTAAGTATATATACATAAAATTAAACATATATATATACATACATATATATACATACATACACACACACATATATATTAAATATAATATTAAATACTGCTAACTACGAACGCTAAGTTGATTCTGCCATTTTATTGACGAGCATTTCTCGCACTTTAGACTTGAACGTAATCCAGTTTTCGGCACTCCTGATTTCGGAAGGAAGAGCGTTCCAAAGAAAAACAGATTGAACAAAGAACGATGATTGAACAAAGATAGTACTAAAAGGGGGGGCACTGAAGCAAACGGTTATTACTAGAACGGAGAACTCTATCATGATTGAAGCTAAGATATTGAAAATGAGGAGTTAAATAAGAAATGTGTATAAATAGATTTTATATTTACCACTTCTACTATAAAAATCAATCCTAGATTGTTATCGTATATCGATAGGTATTTTCCTTTCGGTTTTTATTGTACATACAAATTCAGTATAAAATCATTTTTTTTAACATTGAAATGTATAATACAATATTTAAAAAAAATACTAAGTACTAAAAACTTCCCGTGGTGTCGTGTCAAAAACGCTGGCTGCGTTCCCTCGCTGAATGACTATACTTAGCTTCCGAGTGAGAAAAGAACTAACCCTCTCATCACCAGCAGCAGCGACCAGTCGCGGTTAGATGTCCTTTAGAAACTTTACCGCACGTGCACACCACGGACCGATAGTCTCTGCAGCGAGTGACACAAATATGTAGTCATTTCTCAGAGACACATATCTGCGCCGCTTCTTTAAATCAGCTGCCTCTGATGTCGCCCCTGCTTTAAACGAGGAAGCCCTGAGATGAGAGGCTACCGAAGTGTATCAAAGTCATGCCAAGTAGCATCCTACACCTCTCTACCGAGGGACCAATGTCATACCATCAGGTATCTTGCCTTCTTTTTAGTTTTTGAGTATTATTTTTCTTTTATTTATTCAGAAAATACTTGATTGAAGTACTTTTTAACTCAGTGGCCGTATATCTCAATTCTGTACGTTTTTTTTTCTTTTTTATTGGTAGAGCCACGATGCTGCTATATTTCAGTTGTAGCAAGAATGAGTCTGTTCGACCGAGGCAGGACCACGCTTTCACAGAATACCAGCGTAATGCTGCTATGATTCGTATTCAACATGTACAGATCCGGAGACCCTTTTTACTGGGATCAAGGCATTCCATCTTAGTCCTCACGGGTGACATTTGCATTATATAAAAACTATGAACCACAGCATCCACTTACCATCACTTATCATCACAATCCACGTGTGTTCGTTCATCACCCAAGGCTATAAAAAAAATAGGTAACGAATTGACCGACGACGATAAATGAAGAAATTCAACAAAGAGTACCTACAACGAAAATAATGAGTTATTTAGCACTTTACAATAGCTAAGAATATTTAGACAGTGATCAGTAAACTATTAATAGCTTATGTGCCTACATCATAAAGCTAGACTGATATTGTTCTGTGAAGACTGCTATATACCTAGCTTTGCTATTAAATATAGGCGAAATTACTATAACCAAGACTAAAAACAAAAATAAATAATGATGTGATCTTCTAAATATACCTTTTTTATTTTAATCCTACTTAGTTAGTATGGAGTGTAGAGGTAACACTCCATAGTCCATACTATTTAGTTAAGTAATACTTAATAGTTTTCCCAACTCAAAATAAAGTTAGAGCTCTTTTATAAATTTATAAAAAGTAATATGGTATAGGTAGAGATGAAGCGTATATACTAGAACAGATCCAGGGACTAAGTATTTAACGAGACTAGGTTGCACCTATTCCAACTTTTAAAATCCTCGATCCATCTAGTCTCACTGTGCCTACGCTTCGTAGCTTCGTACTCGTATTTTGCTGCCGTAGACTGTAGTTACTGGGCGCTCAACTCGGGTCCTCTTTGCCTAAATCATTAGTTTGTCAGTCATTTGAATTTGAACCAAGTTTCAATGCACATAAAAGTAACGTGACGCGCACTCGTGTTGTGTAATAATATACTCTTTCCTTTTTTAACTACACTATTCCACAGTCTTTCTATCTTTGTCTGTCAATACTCGAGACTCGAGACTGGTCGGGACTCGGGACTTCAACCAAATACTAGTACAAGAGTACAAGGCAACAAGCGTACCCTTTATAAGGTCTGTATACGACCAGTCATATACTACGCGGGCCCCGTTTTTGCCCACGCCGACCCTAAAATTATTAATGAACTCCAAATAGTTCAAAACCTTTTCTGTCGTCGAGCTGCGAACGCACCTTGGTACGTCCGTAATGCCGACCTTCATCGGGACCTAGAGCTCCCCACAATTCAACAATTTCTCCAAAAAACTCTCTGAGAACTTCTTCAAAGCCTCAGAGTCGCACTCCAACCATTTTATTCATGACGCAGCTACTTATGCAACCCCACCCCCCTCTCGCTATCGAGTCCGCAGGCCGAGAAACTCTCACTCGGACCCGCCTAGTAAACTATCGAACGACCTGAACTGCCTCCTGGCGGCTCAGGCCAACTCTAATTAAATTAAATTATTTATTCATAATTAATTTGCCTTCGTAGGCACTCCCTCAGCGGCTCGTAGCCGCCTGCGCCCTCTTTTCCCAAAAG